TAACGAAAAAGAAAATTAGAAAAGTGCATAACTCTTTGGTTTTCTTGTGAAATAATGTGAAAACAAGAACAAAGGAATACCTCGAAGCCTTGAATACAAGTCGTGTTGCTTCCCAATGCGCGGAGAAAACAGCTTCTTTGCCCGCATGGAGTGTCTCACATGCTAGCGAATTTATCCCTTTTTCTGTACACAATGGTTCGCAGAGAATTCCCATCGCTGTACCGTCTCGGTGCTGGTTGCACTAAAATGGAAATTATATGATCGAATAAGCGGATAAGCGGATAAGCAGAAAATTTCCAATTTCGGAATCGAAAAAGAAAAAAAATAGAAAACGTACGCAAATTACGTGAATTAAGTTGCGTAATAGATGTGCATAAAAATTTCTTATACTCTGTTTACAATTAAACAGTAATGATAATTGTTAATAAATAATTATTTATTAATAATTATTTTTCTAAAATTAGAACGTTAATCGTGATTCATTGCAATTCTTTTGATGTTTATTATATTAATGTTTATTAAAAATTTTATTTAAAATTAACTTTTTGAAAAAAGCGCAAAAAGGAGAGAAATTCTGAACGAGAAAAGAATATATCTATTAAAGTCAAGTTGATAATTATATTAATTAGTAAAAATTATTTAAATTACTCTGTTTCTAACAAATAAATCTATCTTTTATATGAATCACCGAATTTAATGAAACTTAAGATACATTTGTAGAGCAGACGAAAATAATAAAAACACAAACGACAATAGGGTTTCACGACAAATGGATGCAAACTAAGCACGAATAGATACTTGAGTTCTTGCATTTTAGCTCATTCTATTATAGCTAATTCTGAATCTAAAGATGTGCGCTTTTTCGTTTCCATACATCAAAAGTAAATTTAATAAGTGAATATTCTTTTTGGTCTACGTAATAATTAAAGCGATTAATAATACTCAAATATGTTTTTAGATATAAGTTATTAACGTATTTTTTAACTTTTAATGTTCAAGTTGTTATTTTATTTACGGTTTTCCAGTTATAAAAAAATATTTCCGATATGAGGATTGTTGGCCCCAATATCTTATAACTAACCTTATAAACTCATGGCTGCTTGAAATGAAATCTGTCTTTATCAATACTTTTTATTCTAAGTTAATGATTAAATATATAATTTTTAATTATTATTATAAAGAATAAAGATTTTAGTTATCCTAATTTTGTTAATTAAAGCATTTAAAAAGAAAGAGTATCACAAATTACTATACTTAAGATAAAAATAATAAAAATTTGATTAATAATATAACACATAATCCTTTCATGTTTTTAATAATATGTAATCTCTCATTAAACGATTATCTTCATGGCTCAACTTATCCTTCAAGGATGCTCAACATATTCCATGTGGAGCATATTGATCCGCTTTGCAGCCTTGTAATTAATATATAATAATTTTTTCTTATTTACGAGATATATTAAAGATTTATAAATACTTAATTATTGATGAACTTGCAACGTTTTAAAGCATTTACTATTAATCTATCGTAATTGTGTGAAGATTTATAATAACTTAAAGAAAAATTAAGTGTCACAACTAGCCCTGCTCTATCTTAGCTGTAATAGAGCTAAAATGTAAGAAATTAAGTACTCGTGATTATCATTATAAGGATAGTTTGTACCCTTAAACCTGCATTATTGCTGATATAAAAAAAAATACGTGTCTATTAATTTCGTTTGCTCTACAAATGTACCAAGTTTCATTAAATTCGGCGAGTCATGGAAAGTTTAACTCCGGTTAGGGGTAATAAATACGTGAGATTTACGCCGCAGAAGTCAGAAAAAATAGAAGGAATGAGGGTAATTTTCCCGCAACTACTCTGTTATGCCTTTATGTTATATTAATAATGTATTATGTGATTTCAGTTTCTTACTATTAATATTAATGAAATTATTGTGAGTTGAATCGATTTATCACTGTGTTAAGTAGCACCATAAATTATAATCATAAATCATATAATCCACATAAAATGATTACTGTAGAATGTGCAAAAGACTTAATGGTTATTTCGTGATACATGAGTGTAGAGGAAAGTATATACAACAGTAGCAAAGTATGTACAACAAAATACAAGTATTTCGCTCTTGTATTCTTTGTTTAGTTTATCGTCTTGTATATATGTTTGGGATATATGGCATTTTTAATAGGCGGGATTTATGCCCTAAGCATACAAAATGTGCAGATTGAATCAGTGCACTAAATACAATAAACGTATTACGTGAAATATGTACCTCATGTCAGAACACTTGTAATACATCTGGGAAGATTATTATTAATTATTTATTACCTCATATACAAATTTATTCTTATTTCTTAATAAAACTTTATAAACGCATTTTATAAGTTATTGTGTCATTTTACGTCTTATTTATATGTATCATTTGCAAATTTTTTATGAGCTATACATACCACCTCCTCTCCCTAGCATCCCACCCCATGGAACATACGGCAAAAATGCAAGAGTTTAAAAAAATTCATTTTTTAATACGAAATATAAATATTTCGGATTTCTAATATTTTTTTATAAGTAGTAAACAGTACAAAGTTTTTACTCATATAGTTCGTTTACTTTAAACATAGTAAGTAATACTTAATAAATTAAGTTTTTGATAGGTGCGACGTATATACTCGAGTTACCCTATTTGTAAATAATTTTATCTGCGAATGAATCAAGGATTTTGCGCTATTTCGTTTCGAATAAATATTAGTTTAATAACAAAGTTAAACGAATGTTTTAGCACGATCCGTTTTCAGTGGACAGTTTCTTTCTGCAACGCACTGTGCTCGAGTCACGAGAATTGAGAGCAATGAAAGAGCATAGCTTGCGCGCGTGGGCGCCCATATTCGTGTAAACCACATGCGTGTATGTTGTACAATGTCGTTATATTGCACGGGCTCGTTCGTGTGATATTTTTAGTCGGCCGAATCAGCTATGATGAGGGAACGATCTCGGGAGGCGACTTCACGGCTCTTGTACAGACATGTCATATGTGCCTGCACTACACATTCTGCGCATCCGAGGTGGCACTTATCGTCAAAAACGCTTTCAAGACGGAATGCCTTATCTTTTTTATTAGGTATTGTACATTATTATGTTTACCAGAAAACGAATGTTTTAAGAGTATATAGTACACACATACACACACACACACACACACACACACACACACACACACACACACACACACACACACACATTACTTCAAATGAATCATTTATCTGTTGTATTTTTTGGATTTTTTAAAAGAGTGTTATATAATAACATTCTTTTTTAAAAAATGCAAAAAATACAACAGATAAGTGATTCATTTGAAGTAATAGCCAACATGCTTACATCACTGTTAAAATGGAGTAATTATATCTACCTCTTTGTTCTTTCCCATAAAAGTAACTTTCATCATACAATGAAGAAATATTTTTAATTATTAAATTAAAATTATGTACGTTGCGATCTCTTTTAGTTTTAATTTTAATTTAGAATGTCCATTTATATGAAAATATATGTATGTGATTTTTTTATCTATATTCATTATACGTCGATTAGAATATAATATAGATAATGAATATATTATTTATTCTCTAAAATTTATCCTCTTGTTTAACATCCAGTAGATAAAATAAAAATTCACTACACATTTCTCTCTCTCTCTCTCTCTCTCTCTCTCTCTCTCTCTCTCTCTCTCTCTCTCTCTCTATCATTTATTTCACAAGTGCAATCAAAATATGTTTTAAAAAACTATAAAAATTTTTAGAATGATTTGATAACATTTGAATCTTTTTAAAACATTTTTAATTGAATGAGCGTATATACATTAGTAAAACTCATGAAAAAAATGTTAGATGTTATATGTTATCGCTCTTGTCTCACGACATTCTTGCGTGTGTCAGTTAAGTATTATATAAGTGATTTTCCACTTAATATTACAGTTGTATGCTACAACTGTACTGTTGGAATGTAATAACCAGTAATATGTAGGATTTAAATTATATAAGACTTCATCAACTTTTTTAGGCTCCGTTCGGGCAACGCCATTGTGTCATTTTATCTTTAGATGTAAATCAGAAATAGAATGACATAATAGCGCTGACAGCGCGTTCCTCAAACACAGCCAAAATTTCAACCTGTAGTTTAAAATCTTTCTACAATTATGCTTACTAAAGGAAATTCTTGAACATTACGAATTATAAAGAAATCTAGAGTTGCAATAATTTTAATAAATAAAATCTTGACGAGAAAATTTTCTATATATTTTGTAAAAAAAATTATTTAATATTATGGCAAAAAATTTATAAGTCAATGTAATAATTTTATCTTTTTCTATAAATCAATAAACTTTAATTTACGTAATCTTCGTAATCATAACTTTTTAAAATCATTAATAATTGCAGTAAATGTATATCCTATCGATAAAAAAGAAAATTAAAATCACAGTTGAATTATAATTTTAATAATTTTATTTTGTAGTTGACATTATTCGATGTAATATGGAATTAAAAGAAACACATTATTAAGCATTACGAAACATTTTAGCAAATTCTTATTCATACAAGTATGGATCGATCTAGATAAAATTAGGAATATTTTATGGAGATTGACGTCTGAAGTACTATTTGGGTTACTAGGATACAGCCTTACCAGATTATCACCGCAATTTGAATTTACAAGTAAATTCTCGTCAACAAATTCCTAAATGCTTATCAATAAATTATTCAGTCAAAACGATATATGTATATATGAAAGTCGATTGTAAGTAAATTTTTTCCGGATAAGTTATCTCTCTTAGCCAATTTTCTGGAAAGCTGAACTTTCCAGTTCGGACCAAGAGTACACTTGACTTTCTCTTCCGTAATGATAAGTTTATCAGTGAATCATGTAAAGTTTACAGTTTTTATCATAGGAGTCCACATTTTATCAATGACCTCTGCGAACGCAAATTATATTTTAATTGATCTTTGTACTGAACTTGTACTTTTGTTTGCCGGCCAGGCGCTTTTTGTTGCGCTTTTCTCGTAAAACGAAGTAGAGAAAATTCGCGAATGTATATATATGCTTATTTGAAATAATCATAGCGAGTAAGATGTAGAAATAAGAGATGCGGAGATGATCGGGGTGATTGGCATACTTGCTCCGTTCCGGAGGCTGCGGCAAAGTACGCGTGCGTTCGCTTCGCTCTTTCATCCCCGTTCATCCCCTTTCGTCGAATCCGGCGCGGCGGGCGCAGGATTCACTCGCACTGACTCGACTCAACTCGCACACCTTCACTATCTCGATCTCGACGTATTCACCCGATGCCTACTTTATCCTCGCGCAATCGGTATCGCGTTCGAAGATACGATATATCGCGCGCTATTCCGATCAGCGTAATATCTAGTGAAACTCACCACAGTAGACACGTGACGCCAGGCCTCGAGATTTGTGCACATTATGCCCCAATGTAGAAGCAGGTAGACAACGAGAAACAAGCTAGACATCAGGAGGACCGTTACGAATTTATAGTGGTACATGAAACCGGGTAACCGACGGATGTTCATGTTCGCGCTGCCGATCGTCAGGTTCCTGACGGTAATCAAGGTAAGTGATTACTTGTGTTTTATTTTCTTTATTTTTCTTTTGTTTCTTATTTTTTTATTTTTTTCCCTCTTCTTTTTTAATCTCATCGACTACGACCCGGCTTCGTAGTCGTGATCCTCTCATCGTCTTTCGCGACGACACCGTGTTTCGCGTCAACAACATTCCGTTTCGCCGTATCCGCTGGTATCCGTTTGTCGCCGCTGCCGTTGCCGCTACGACCCTCGGGTCGCATCGATGACGAACGTTTGCAGCAATGCGGCATAATCTGCAGCACAGTGTGAGAACGAGGAAGGCGAGCGTCGCGACGCTGCGCCTCTCGTGGCGAATCTTGCGATTCTACCAGGAACGTACCCCGATCGACGATCACCCCGCCAGAGAGATATTGGCCAAATTTTTTATTTGACGACATACACAGCGTCACACAGCTTCTTCGCACAGCTTGTTAAAATACATTATTACTTGTTCAGGTGACATAAATGTGTGTCGAGATGGTCCGCCGACATTCCATCGAATCTATTCCATATAATTGTCGAACGGTTTAAATCATTCTGAACGACAATAAAACTTAACAATAGGTGTAGTTCTACATAATTTATTATTGGCATTTTAAAACTTTATTTCCTATTATATATCGCTGGATTTCAAATATATGTTTTATATACTTCATTTTAAGTACTGTATTAGTTGAACTAGTTCATAGTTTATAATCTTACTATTGAACTAGTTCAGCTACAAAGAACAGATTTACAATGATTTTGTTTGTCATTATCATTGATTACACGTTGATTTTGCAAAGGTAACTGTCTGGTGTACATCTAGATTCGCACAAATTGATTTTAAATATTTAATTGACGTACTTAGGAGTGCATTTGTTCCATATGCATATTTTTTTTTTCAAGTTTTGTGCATGTATAATCTAGCACTCTACATCGCATAAATATTGTAATATATGCGATAATTAAGAAAAAATTGTGCGGAAATAACTAATTCAAATAATTTTTCGAATAATTTTCCAAAAAATCCGATTTTTAAAATCCGAACTAAATATAAATTTAGAATAGCTTATAATATTCTTAAAACAGAGAGAGAGAGAGAGAGAGAGAGAGAGAGAGAGAGAGAGAGAGAGAGAGAAATTATTGATAAGATTTATGACCTTATTTTAAAAAATAAATTTCTACTAAGAAATTATTTATGTTTTACTACATTCTACTTAAATATAAGGCATTAATTTCCACTTACTTTACTATTAATTGCAAAGCATGGTACCTGTGAAAGATTAATATATAAAATATTAAACATTGCTGCATATATTATGGCATCATCTTTTTACACTTCCCAATGACTTCTTCTCTCTTTCTTTTTTAGAATTTTGAATAATGTAATGGCTGTACGAAATTTCAAAGAGTTATAATTTCGAAATCTTCTTGAATAAGATAATGTTCTGAAAAATTATAATCTCTGCTTACTTCATTCTAATTACGGTAAGAAGATGATCATTGAGAAGAGCGGCCCCTCTCTCTCTCTCTCTCTCTCTCTCCCCCTCATCTCTGTCTTTCAGCAATGCGTTTGATCTTCTCACGTATTTTAACGATAATAAAATGAAGACGTCGTTTTCATCGGCATTACATTGTGTCATGTCTGAGCGATTTCTGAATCGCGCGCGCTACCAATATGTGAACAAGCAAGAAGGAAAGAGAGAGAGAGAAACAGAGACGCACCTGCGTGCTGCGACTGCGACGCGCAGCTGCGACCTTCGACGCCCTTGTACCGCCGGCAGCCGTTCCGGCGCGAGAGAATATCGTCGTCATTTTTACATGAGACGTCGCACGTTCACGTAAAGGTCCACTGCTCGAGCTCCGTGTCATCGTTGTCGACGTCGTCGTCGCCGTCGCTGTCATTCGTCCGATGCGGATCTCCCTCTAAAAATCCGGTTCTTTGCAAAGTTCAGAACCGGAAGCGCGAAAGTGTTTTCGCCGAGCGGACGTGCGAACGCGAGTGCATTTCACTTCGTGCTTCATTCTTAAAAAAAATAAAAAGATAATTAAAGAAGGAAGGAATCATCTTCCAGGGAATTGGTGAGTTCGGCGCGCGTATGATTGCATTTAAAAAAAGAATAGCATTTAAATACTGGTTTTAGAAAAAAGAATGGCATTTAAACGTATAAAATTTGAAAATGTTATAGAAGATGTCATATGATACTTCATCTTCTGATGCAATCCGAGTTGAAGATTCTATTATAACATTTCCAGTAAACGTATTATATTTAATTTTGATTTATTTTTCATTTAATAAATATCGATTCAAATTTTAAAAAAGTTTTTAAAATTTTCTTAAATCTTTTAGTAAATTAAGTCTTCGATAAATTAAATTTTTTTAATTTTCCAAATTTTAATTAAATTTTCTTAGATTTTTAAATTTCATTAAAATAATTCTGATAACTTTAGTTAAAAAAGTTAAATAAATACATCCCTTGATATTTTCCTTGTCTCTCTTTTTATTTACAACTATTAACCCCTTGGTCGGGGATGAATGTACAAGGTTTGTGCAGATCGACATACCGATATGATTAGCTTTGTGCGTGCCTGTGTACGTGCGTGCGTGTGGAGAGTTTGCTTCTTGCGCTTATAACTGACGGCTTCGCTTGGTTATATCGTCTTTATTCATCTGACATAGTCGCGTTGCGATGCCAATGCTCCGATTTTGACATTGATAATATGTAACGTGGGATGACAATGACAGAAAAAAATATTTAAAAGCTTTAAATCGCTTTTATATATCAAGATAAATATAAAATAGGCACTTTAAAGAAAAAAATGTACGAAAATTAATTTTTACACAGAAAGAATTAAAAATTGGATTTTCTTTTTGGATTCGTAAATAATTATTGTACAACATTAATAAAGATTGAAAAAAATTGCGTCAGATTAAAAGGGAAAAGTGTGAGCATTTTTAAAAATTAAAAATAAACAAGGCCCGATGCACAGAAAGTTCACTGATTAGACAAGTTATCGTAAACTGGTTTGACAAATCGTTTACCAATACGAATTTCAATCTCAGTAAGATGAGTTTCTTCTCTCTCTCTTTCTCTCTCTCTCTCTCTCTCTCTCTCTCTCTCTCTCTCATTTTTTTTGCAGCGCGAAAAAATATTTGACAGTGCTATCATGAAATCTATGTACATACATTCTATAGAAGATTGCAATTGCTTTCACATCAGTTTCTACTATCGGACGAAAATAAACGCGTTTATAAGCAAGTTGAAGCGATTTGTGATTGTGATGATCCATCTCGCGCAAACAGAAATATCAGCTTGCGGAGTCCATTTGTAATGAAATTGTAAATCGGTTGGTTCCAATGTCGCAAAAAATTTATTCTGCAATATAAGCTTTGATTTCGTGATGTAAACTTGAATTAAAGTCTTAAATGAAAAGATTTAGATTTCTTTGTAATGAAAATTTAAATGTAACTAATTGGACTGATAAAATGTTATCTTTTTGGACGGATGCAATCTATGAACTAATGTTTAAGATTGTTACAAGAATGCTTCTCCGTCCAATCTTGGCATGCAAAAAAAGAACAAGTTTAGTCTTTGATCTCCAAGTTGTTGAAGTAGGTTCGCCTATTGACCTTTTATCTTCCTCTTCTTTGTCTCCTTTTTTTTCTTTTTTACTTGCATGTGTTGTTCACATTTCATATTGTGTTATTCGTCTTTTTTAGTTGCTCGAATAGGCGTGAATCGTGACCGTGATCGAACATTACGATCGCGCGCAGACGCTCGCCAGACTGTAAATCGCGATGAGATCTCTCAGTCGATAAAGGTCATTTCCATTATATTGGCCGTGATCTTGAATGGAAGACTGAAGAATAAATATTGTCTTTTTTATTTTCCAAGGCTTTATCGTAAAGTTACATATCGTAAAATGAAATTCCTCGTATGTGAATTTGAATAAATTGAATAAATTGTCTGGATTTCTTTCTATTTTAAAATTGAATACTATATATTAAATGTTAGTTTTGTTCAGTTTTTGTTGTATTCTAGCAGAAATGTTGTGCAAGAATAAGTAGAGGGAAAGAGAGAGAAATTATAAAATACAAATCTTACTGTATTCTTGGATTAGACGACTGTATTAGTGAAGGTCACCTTGATATCCCTGTTAATCTGAACCCCCACAATCGTGTTGGGCACTGTTGGGATATAGTCAAAAATTTATCTTCGATCCCGTGAACAGGATGGATTTTTCTTAAATGTATCGCGCCTGCGTTATCGGTCTTTCCTCGTCAATGCCATAGAAGCCACTTTTCTCTCACCACAATACTGAAAAAGGTCATCGTTTAAGAGATCGTTTAAGAGATTCTCATTTCCAAATCCATTCATTGCCAACATTTTTACGAAGCAGCATTTTGTCAAGATTTTTTGATTTTTCATTTTATTAAAAAAAAAATGGCAGTGTATGTTAAAAAAAGAAAATATTTTTTTATAAAGTTATTTTAATTTAAATTTATTGTTATTGTTTTAAAAAAAATTATTATTTCTATATATATTTAAAATTAGAAATAAAATATCTTCTAATTTTTATTATTTATTATCATTCAAAGTTTTTTCAAATTGTATTATTAGTATTATTTTTTTGATAATAGTTGATTGTTCTGAGAGATTTTGTATGCAAAACTTTTTTAATAGGAGTACTTTTTAAGCTAAATATTTCTCTATAACGCTTCCTAACTCAAATTATTAACACTTGTGTTAAACGAGATAAATCATTTAATAAATTTTGTATGTGGATAAATGTTGATATAAAAATCGCTTTCTGTTGTTCTTCATTAGAATAAAGAACACACAATCCTCTCTTTTTCTTTTTTTATAAAGGAAAGGCCTTTATTATAAGATACCGAGTTCATTTTAATGCTAGATAAATGCTAGAAGTCTATGGGCAGAATTAAAAAAAATAATAGATCACTTAGAAAGGAATT